CCCCAAAACCCCAAAACCCCAAAACCCCAAAACCCCTCAGAGCTAATTAAATAATATTAAAATGAAATCTCAGAAGCAACAGACTAACCACCTTTATATGGATGAGAAAGAAATCATTATGAATAAAAGCTTCGGTGAAGAAAGAGTGGATATAGACAGAGATTTTGAGGTAGAAAATTGAAAAGAAGCCAAAACTGTGAAAGTTTTAACACAAAATATGTTCCTCCGACCTGTTGTCAAAACAAATGAAAGTGATTACAAATATGAGAGACTTCAGGATCTTCTTCAAGTTATCCAGAACTTTGACATTCTGTGCTTCCAAGAAGTCTTTAGTGGCCTCAATAGCCACAAGCCGCAGCTTCTTACTGTGGGTAAATAAAGCTGGTTTCAATTACTATTGCCATAGCAGCAAGCCAGGCTATTTTGAAAAATATCTAACTGATGGAGGACTTGTTAACCTTAGCAGATACCCCATTGTTGAAAGCGATGAAGAAGTGTACAAGAAAGCTATCGGAGACTGCTCGATTGCAAAGAAAGGCGTCTTGTTTTCTAAGATCGACATAAACGGAAACCATCTGTACTTGTTCAACACACACTTGCAAGCAAACTACTACTCGTCATATGACCTGTACAGAAAGTGAATCAATACCAAAATGTATCAGCTCAAGCAGCTGGCCGAGTAAGACTCATAGTTTAACACTCTAGGTACATTGAAAGCAAAACCAGAGATATGAAACCAGACGACAAAATCATGCTGGTCGGAGACTTCAATATTTCAAGTCGAAAATTCAACTCGCATACCATCGCTCAGTTCAAAGGCTACGCAGAGCAAGACCCTGGCTACAACATTTTCTTTGAAGAAGGGTTCAACACTCTCATGGAAGCAGAAATCATGAAGAAGATATTATCAGAAGACGGACTGTTCAGCGTCAAAGACTTGAAGGAGAGGCTGGGTGACGAGGAGGGAGCTCCTGCAACATTTGCAGGGACAATTGAGCTTGAGGACGGGAGTAAAGCTCCAGCAGATACTGCTCTTATGAGTCAAAAGGACCTAATGACAGAACAATCTTTAGATTATATTTTTATCCTAGAAAGAAATGATATTTGTTTTAAAAGCCAGGAAGACTCTAAAGATATGACTTATCCAATAACGAACATTATCAGTAACAAGAATTACAATAATGATTTAGAAGATGAATGGCTTCTTCCCAAACAAAAACCCTTTACCGTTAAAGAGGACACAATCAGAGTCGAAAAGTTCCTAATAAAGGACAAAAAGTACGGAGCTCTCAGTGATCATTTTGGACTATCAGTCAATATGACCGCCCTTTAATCTAAGATTTATATCTCTAAAAACTTATCAAATTTCTAAATCTCCAACTTAAATCCTCATATTCTAATTTTCTTCTATTTTCCTCCGGTTTGAAGAATATGTTTGAGCCTTTCTCGATGTTGCTTCTTTGTGGTTCAACTTCTTCCTCCTAATATTAAGGGTGATGGGTCCTGAAGATTTTAATTTCATTTAATCAATATTTATTATTATAAAAGGGGTTTTGGGGTTTTGGGGTTTTGGGGTTTTGGGG